CACCAAGTTACATGGAGATGTTAAAGAATAATATAAAATATATTTTAAAATTTTATCTAACAAGTTAGATTTTTTGGTGGAATTAGTTTTGTGACTTGGCATCAGTTTCTTGATAATTATGTGGTCAGAGTTTGAATCTCATAATCCCTATTTATTTTATAAATATTAAGTACAAGATAGTATAGATTTATGCAAAATAATATAAATTATATCTTATAAACCATCTAACAATTTAAGTTTTTATTTTGATAGCGTTCTTATATTTATAATGTTTTTAATCTTTGAATGTTTTGTAGCAAATCTTTTATTCTTAGCTCCGCCTACATCAAATTAAATTGATTCTTTGGCAAGAAGAACACTATAAACCATGATATTTTTACTAATTCAAACACAAACCTTATAATTAACCGAAATAGTGGTGGATTTTTGGAGTAAAAACACATGTTCAATCTCTCTAGTATAGTTTTTCAATGATGAAGAACTTATTTTATCCGCAGCTGACATTGAATTCCAATTTTTTTATAAATTGTTTGATGCTTTAAGGCGTCTCTTTGTGGGTGGCATTAAATTAAAGCCCTTTTTATTCTCTATTCATATAAAATACTAGTATAAATTGGTTTAAATTAATCACGATCTAAGAAAGAAGCCTCTCTCTCGTTTTACATCAATGAAATTATATCTTTAACGGTTAAATTGTTTTTTTTTTTTTTAATACTTTCAGTTTAACAATTGAAACATATATCACATGAAATGGATAAAAAAATAAATTTAATATATAAAATTGAGTACAAGATTTAAGTCTTCTGGATTGAATTCTCGACTAAATTATCTAATTCAGTGCAACAACGGAGTCATTTACACACGTTAATAGAGAAAAACCCAAGTTGAATCATTAAATATATGTCACATGGAATGAATAAATAAAACTAACATATAAAGTTGAGGATCTGGACAAGACTTCGGGAATTTCTTTCCTTTCATGGCACATTTAGGCTTAGAAAGAATTGTTCCATCTAGGGAACTGGTTCGGAGATGCTTGAAGTACCTTGCGACGGGAGAAAACAGGGAAGAGGATGGAGGGACATGAGCTTTAAGATTGCAGGGCACTAGTTTACTAATGATATAGGGCCTTTTCAGCCTCGTCGATCGGAATCAATTCTATGATTGAATAGCTAGCAGCAATGCTAGTTAGTGCAGAAACTCAGAGAGATAAACAAAGAGGGGACTCTGCCGGCTAACTCCTCTCTGTAGTAGTTATTAAACAGCAATCAAATGGGTGCTTCAATTTAAGCTAAGTGTTTGGTTTTTTTTAAAGAATTTGGATTTGCATCCGTATTAGATTACTTTTTTTTATAAGCAAGATTATCGTTGAAGCACCAAAGAAAGGCGAAGGAAACAGAATACGAATCTGCAGGAACCAAACATACAACAATTGAAAGAAACATCAAGACCAGGGAGCCCATATATCAAATAATTCTTAACTACATAAAGGAACTCCATATATACTCGAACCAGGAGAACAAAAAGTGGAACTCCATGCCTAAAATATATATATATATAGAGAGAGGGGGGGGTGGGGAGGGAGGGAGAGGGAGAGAGGAGCATTAAAATCACGTAGTATAACTTTATTGATGATACAGTAAACGGACGAGAATTAATAGCAACTTTTATCTAGTACCCAACACATGCATGGAGATTAAACCTCCTTATTTCCTTTAGAAGCATCAGTATTTTTGCATCTTAACCAATTCCAGGGACTTGAATAACAATGCCCTTTTTATCAACCCAAACCCAAACCCTATCACAGCGGAAGTCCAGAATGACCATTGATCCTTCTGGCACAATTATAGCTTCAACAAGAGGATTTTCTCTCTCAATCGTCGCAACAGCGACCTTCCCCTCTGCTCCAAGAAGCTCTGGCCATGAACTCTTACCTGCATGTACATAAATTATATAATTGTGTCACAACCAAGCATTATCAGATTAAGTTGCACTATATTTTTAGCACAGAAAATGCTCATTACGTACCTTGGCATGTAGTATCAGATGACATTTTTTTCCCCTCTTTAAACTCTCTAGTAATGTTTCCTTGTATTTGAGATATGACTTTGTTGAAGTCGAGGTGGTTATTTATAGTGTAGCGTGTGGTAGCTATTGGTTGGTCATTGTTGACAGTAGCATGTGTTTGCCTAAGAACATATATATCTAGTTTCGCATTCACGCCAGCTTGATTTGTTTGAATATCTTCTTATTTGACTAATGTATATGTTAGAAAGATTTATTTGATGCATACTATTCACATATGCCTCCTTCGATGAAAAACTAATATCAGAGCTCAACTTCTGTAGTAGTTATTAAACAGCAATCAAATAGGTGCTTCAATTTAAGGTAAGTGTTCGGTATTTTTTTAAAAGAATTTGGATTTTTATTCGTTTTAGTTTAATTTAGTTTTTTTTTATAAGCAAGAATATATATCGTTAACACACGATCAAAGACACGTGCCTGAATTCAAGATCATGCCAACTGTGTTTGCCATTTTCGTTTCTTCAAATTCTATCCGAAGTTATTGACCCAAATTAGAATAATGGTAATTGCATTCTTCACATGTACGGATTGCATGATATCAATGTGAAAGAATATCGAGCGTACGGCGAAGGAAACAGAATACGAATCTGCAGGAACCAAACATACAACAATTGAAAGAAACATCAAGACCAGGGAGCCCATATATCAAATAATTCTTAACTACATAAAGGAACTCCATATATACTCGAACCAGGAGAACAAAAAGTGGAACTCCATGCCTAAAATATATATATATATAGAGAGAGGGGGGGGTGGGGAGGGAGGGAGAGGGAGAGGGAGAGAGGAGCATTAAAATCACGTAGTATAACTTTATTGATGATACAGTAAACGGACGAGAATTAATAGCAACTTTTATCTAGTACCCAACACATGCATGGAGATTAAACCTCCTTATTTCCTTTAGAAGCATCAGTATTTTTGCATCTTAACCAATTCCAGGGACTTGAATAACAATGCCCTTTTTATCAACCCAAACCCAAACCCTATCACAGCGGAAGTCCAGAATGACCATTGATCCTTCTGGCACAATTATAGCTTCAACAAGAGGATTTTCTCTCTCAATCGTCGCAACAGCGACCTTCCCCTCTGCTCCAAGAAGCTCTGGCCATGAACTCTTACCTGCATGTACATAAATTATATAATTGTGTCACAACCAAGCATTATCAGATTAAGTTGCACTATATTTTTAGCACAGAAAATGTTCATTACGTACCTTGGCATGTAGTATCAGATGACATTTTTTTCCCCTCTTTAAACTCTCTAGTAATGTTTCCTTGTATTTGAGATATGACTTTGTTGAAGTCGAGGTGGTTATTTATAGTGTAGCGTGTGGTAGCTATTGGTTGGTCATTGTTGACAGTAGCATGTGTTTGCCTAAGAACATATATATCTAGTTTCGCATTCACGCCAGCTTGATTTGTTTGAATATCTTCTTATTTGACTAATGTATATGTTAGAAAGATTTATTTGATGCATACTATTCGCATATGCCTCCTTCGATGAAAAACTAATATCAGAGCTCAACTTTAATCTATTTGACGCCGCCCAGTCACACGATCAAAGACACGTGCCTGAATTCAAGATCATGCCAACTGTGTTTGCCATTTTCGTTTCTTCAAATTCTATCCGAAGTTATTGACCCAAATTAGAATAATGGTAATTGCATTCTTCACATGTACGGATTGCATGATATCAATGTGAAAGAATATCGAGCGTACTTAGAATAATGAAACCCCCACTTATGAACAAAAAGACAAGAAGAAGAGGAAGATAAACGTAATGTCTAGGAAACTCTAGGCTTTTTGTTGAAGTTCCTCTCGAGGCAATGGAAAACAACTGATTAATTTGAACATGTTCTCTAGCTAGGTTTTTATTTTGAAAGGATATTATGAGACATGAAACTACAGGAAATAAACATATTTTCAATATAAATAGTTGTGTTGTAAGGGATCGAATTTAGTTTGAACTAGTTCAAATGAGTAAATAATTTTTTTTTTTTTCCAATGGCCTTTAAAGATATTCTAGACAAAAGTTTGAACTTTTTCATGGTAATTGAACAGAGATTTTAGGATTGTTTTTATAATTATATAATTGCTTTTCAATTTTTTTGATAATAAAAAATCTACATTAGATGTTTTAAATATGTTAATATTAGTAATTATTAAAACTCAAATACGAAAAGCTTAAGAGCTTGGGTTGTAATTATCGAAATCTATACATACATACATACATACATATATGTATGTGTGTGTGTGTATATACACACACATACTATGGCGTTGTCCTTCTAATTAAGAAATAATGTAAATTATGACACGAAATCACAAATTCATTGAAGCATTTCACAAGAATGTTTTTGACATGTTAAGAAAGTACTGTTTTTCAATATATATGTGTTTGTGTTAGAGATTGTACTGTCTCCTATTAATGTTATGCAATTCAGTTCCCATGATGACAATTAATTAAGGTTTCTGAATATAATAGGAGGCTATACCAATAGATAGCACCCTCCTCTTGTATTTATATATGTAGGGTTGAATATAATAATAAACGTAGTATACAATACACACAATTATAATTTCATACAAGGTAAATATATGTACATATAAGGCAATCCTATAACTTGTAGTACAGAATTTTCACGTAAGGTTTTGGATATACACGGCGCAGAAAATCTTTCAAACATAAATATTAGTATAAGAGGGGTGTTCTCGTCAAATACTCCATAAGAAGACTTTTTAAAGAAGTAAAGGGTGGGCAACAAGCTAGCTATATGTTCTTACGAAAACATGCATGCATCCTTGTTATCTCTGCCAAAGCAATGGACTTTCGAACTTAATTATTAGTTTATTGGCTGGCTGCTGGAACAAAAGTCAATGATCACCAACCAATAGCCACCAATTATGAATGCTACTCTATAAATATGCTCACAGCCCACCTCAATTTCAACAAAACTAAATTCAGAACAAGGAAACAATACTAAACGGTGATCAAAAGGAGAAAAAATGGCATCTATTTGTCAAGGTAATGAATATTCTTTCTCGCTGAAATTAAACAGTAATTGAAAACGTCATGTCCATAGTTTGTTTTGACAAAAAATTAACTTGTGTGCATGCAGGTAAGAGTTCATGGCCAGAGCTTCTTGGAGTAGACGGGAAGTGCGCTGTCGCAACGATCGAGAGAGAAAATCCTCTGGTTGAAGCTATAATTGTGCCAGAAGGATCATCAGTCATCGAGAATTTTCGGTGCGATAGGGTTTGGGTTTGGGTTGATAAAGATGGCATTGTCTATATAGTCCCTGTAATTGGATAAGATCCAAAAACTGCGATATATTCTTGTGATAATTGTCAAGGAATGCTAATAAAAGAAAAAAAATGAAATAAGAAGCTTGGATCCAAGCTCCATGTGTAAATTGCAATCTTGATAAAAGTTGTATTTCTCTATGTATTTCCATTGAACTTAATTACAAATATACACCACCCTTAATAGAGTTATATATGATTAATTATATTCTACCAGTATCTATCACCATGAACGGCATCATGAGTTCAATGCTATCTTTTTGTAAAGGTTTTAGATCAGTTTTCATAGAGAAGGAAATGGCATTGATGACAATCTAGCTAACAGCAGGCTCTGGATAGGGATGCAGAATTTCTGGTTTGTTTGTGATATCCCTGTTGACTTTTTTCTTTCCTCGCCATCACCTTGCTGGCTAGTGCCTTCAAGCAATCCAGTTTTGACTTTTTTCCACAGAAAAATCTACAGTAAATGTTTTTAGTACTTGAGATTTGTAATCGTATGAACACATACAAAAAGCTTAAGCGATAGGGTTGTAATTATCGAAATCTATACTAACTCACTTATCTTCGAGTTCAAAAGAAAAACATTAAATAATTGTGACACGAAATCATAAAATGAATTCATTCAAGTATTTCTCGTGGGTGTTTTTAACATGTTAAGAGCTTGCGTTTTCAATTAATATCACACAATAGCAATACAGTTGCCATGATCAGAAATCCATGCACGCATGTTTGATCATGGGACGTGCTGCCTGGTCAAATATACTTCTATTATAAGGTTTTGGATATATGGACTATGGAGCACAAATTCTTTCGAACATGTTAGGGAGTGTTCTTGTCAAATAATAAGAAGAATTTTTAAAGAAATCAAAATAATTAAATAAAAGTTATACTTCATAAATATTCATGTGTATTTTTCATTCAAAAATCTTATTACTTTTAGTTAATAATTATTTTTTTTTTGGTTTATAATTCTTTTACTCTTATTTTTTTAATTTTTTTCTCGAGAGAATCAGTCAATAAAAAAATAAAAATATATAAAGCTTAAATTTATAAAGTCTTATTGTACGTACTAAAAGCGATTGATTAATCATTTGTCTTTATCAATTAAAGTGCTAATTTGATCATAAGTTTATTATGGGTATTCCATTACTAACGTACTTGTATTCAGTAGAATAACTAATCAGTGAACATGTGTCCTTTAACCATGTTGACTCTATTTTTTATTTTTATTTTATAAAAAACATTTATTGAAATTTGAAGAGAAACAACCATCGAAGAAGACGACTAGTTTGATAATTGAAATTGTTCGATCTTCTTATATATAGAAATATTTTTCTACAAAATTAAAGATCCCGTTTTCAGTTTTTCTTTGTGTTTTTATTTTTAATTTCAATAAATATTTTTGCAAAAAAAATAAGAAGAAAAAAATACTAAATTGAGTTGATTAATATGGTCAAAGGACACATCCGATTGATTAGCAATTTTACTATACATCATCAACAACCTTAACAAGGGAGGCTAACATTAAACAAGAACCCAATGAAAGCTTAAATGGGTAAAGGAACCTGATTAATTAATTTTATTTGTTTTGTTTGTTTTCCTTTTTCATATATGTATCCTTATTGTTTTATGGTTATTTTTTAAATATATAACCACGTATTTAATAAAATTGATGGTTATCAAAAATAAATTAACTGCTTTTAATTAGTGTAAGGATAGCACGGTAATTCGTTAATCCATTTTTTCACTTATGAATACCTTTACAGAACTAGACTGGATGTCTAGATCATCATATATAAATCCACAGGTGCATTTGCCAATTTCTAGAGAAAAACTTGTTCACATGGTCAACAAAAAGCAATTGACAATTGCATATGTCAAGGGTTGTACTAAAGTAGAGTACAAGCCTCGACAAATGCAACAATTGCTTTAATATTTATATTTTATTTGTTTTTATATTTTAAAAATATTTTTATAAAAATTTAAACAAAATTATTTTTTAAAATTAATATTTTTTATGTTTTTATATTATTTTAATGTTCTAATGTTAAAAATAATTTTAAAAAAATACAAAAAATATTATTTTTAATATATTTTAAAATAAAAAATATTCTGAAAACTATCTATTTCCCCACCCCAAACTTAGTGAAAAATATCTATTTCAAAAAATTTATGTCTATAAATATTTCTTGATCATACGTTTTTTTAGTTTTTAAGAATACATTGACGAAATCTTGTTTCATCATTCCCTATAATCTATAATATTGACCATTAAGATCGTACCTACCAACCTCCGTAGTTTATGATCAGTTACATGCATGTAATGAGTTCAGGTTTCTCACGGTTATAATATAGGTTAGGCTGTTGTTCATGCCGCGTCACACGTGGAGGAGAGATTTCAGGATCGATAGAATATTATCCATGCGATCCTAATTGACTCCAAGTTGTAACAAATAATTTACAGCTTGCTTTCCTATTGATATCATGTATGAATACAATTGCCATGATCACAGATTCAGGCACGTGTCTTAGATCATGCCTGGGGCTAAAACTTCTAATTCTCGTCCAGATTATTTTCACCTGATTAAGGTTTTGGATGAGGAAGACAGAATCTTTCAGCCATATTAGGTGTCATCTCCTCTCCGGACAGTACTAATGAGATTTTTCAAACAAAATCGAGTGTCGGAAACTAGCTAAGTTCATACGAAAACAGGCATCCTTTATCCTTATCTCTGCCAAAAAATATCAACTGCCCAACTTAGTTTTTTAGTTAGTCTTTAGCCTTATCTCTACCGGCTAACTCCTCTCTGTAGTAGTTATTAAACAGCAATCAAATGGGTGCTTCAATTTAAGCTAAGTGTTTGGTTTTTTTTAAAGAATTTGGATTTGCATCCGTATTAGATTACTTTTTTTTATAAGCAAGATTATCGTTGAAGCACCAAAGAAAGGCGAAGGAAACAGAATACGAATCTGCAGCAACCAAACATACAACAATTGAAAGAAACACCGTAAATACTCGGAACCAGAAGAACAAAAGGGGGAACTCCATACCCAGAATATATAGAAAGAGGGAGAGAGGAGCATTAAAATGACGTAGTATAAGTACTTTATTGATGATATAGTACTGAATTATTACAAACTCTGTGCAAGTAAACGGACGAGAATTAATAGCAACTTTTATCTAGTACCCAGTACATGCATGCATGGAGATTAAATCTCCTTATTTCCTTTAGAAGCATCAGTATTTTTGCATCTCAACCAATCCGAGGGACTTGAACAACAATGCCCCTTTTATCAACCCAAACCCAAACCCTATCACAGCGGAAGTCCAGAATGACCATTGATCCTTCTGGCACAATTATAGCTTCAACAAGAGGATTTTCTCTCTCAATCGTAGCTGCAGCGACCTTCCCCTCTGCTCCGAGAAGCTCTGGCCATGAACTCTTACCTGCATGTACATAAATTATATATTTGTGTCACAACCAAGCATTATCAGATTAAGTTGCACTATATTTTTAGCACAGAAAATTATTGATGATATAGTACTGAATTATTACTAAACTCTGTGCAAGTAAATGGACGAGAATTAATAACAACTTTTATCTAGTACCCAGTACATGCATGCATGGAGATTAAATCTCCTTATTTCCTTTAGAAGCATCAGTATTTTTGCATCTCAACCAATCCGAGGGACTTGAACAACAATGCCCCTTTTATCAACCCAAACCCAAACCCTATCACAGCGGAAGTCCAGAGGGACCACTGATCCTTCCAGCACAATTTTAGCGTCCACAAGAGGATTTTCTCTCTCAATCGTAGCTGCAGCGACCTTCCCCTCTGCTCCGAGAAGCTCTGGCCATGAACTCTTACCTGCATGTATACAAATTATATAATTGTGTCACAACCAAGCATATATCAGCTTAAGTTGCACTATATTTTTAGCACAGAAAATGTTCATTACGTACCTTGGCATGTAGTATCAGATGACATTTTTTTTCCCCTCTTTAAACTCTCTAGTAATGTTTCCTTGTATTTGAGATACGATTTTGTTGAAGTCGAGGTGGTTATTTATAGTGTAGCGTGTGGTAGCTATTGATTGGTCATTTTTGACTGCAGCATGCGTTTGCGTAAGAACATATATTTCTAGTTTCGCATTCACGCAACCTTGATTTGTTTGAATATCTTCTTATTTGACTAATGTATATGTTAGAGAGATTTATTTGATGCATATTATTCACATATGCCTCCTTGTACTTATCTATTACCAAACCCTAAGATGAAAATCTTCGTTGAAAAACTAATATCAGGACTCAACTTTAATTTATTTGACCCCCCGTCACACGTGTCGCACCCGACATCGCAGCGGCCTTAAAAATTCAATTCATGGAATGAAAAGAATGGATTTCTGGCATCCTATTCTTTGATGGTGAATGATCTTTGTTTAAGGAGTCGCCACCTAGTATTATGGTTACTAGGAACCCTAACTGGTCACCAGAGATTCTATGGTTCGAGACTGATTACGCAAAAGGGAAGATATTATCACCCCTTTTAGCGTCCTGCCTAAGGCAGGCTGCATTGCTGA